TGGCTGCGATGACAGCTGTTAATCGCTGTAGTTTGTCGCTGCCCGTGTGTCGAGCCCTTAACTGTAGCACTTTCGGTTTTAGCCTTGGTCATTTGCTGCAGTAGTTTTTCCTATTGTTTGACATCAGACTGCCTCAGAACTGTAACACTTTACTGCTGCTGTAATTTGCGCTCACAAATAACCATAAATTTCCATGTAGATTACTGCATTACCAKTATAGCAGGGTAAAGGTCTATGTTAATGTGTTTGCATTAACCTATGACATTTWGGAGACTGGAACTGGGCAGGTCATCCATCCGGCGTAGTCAGCACACACAACAAAAAAACAATGCACACACACKCGAACTGCTGCGCCACCTTGAAGTCTATGGTTACATCATTTCCTTTAGGCTCCCTTTGACCTCTCTCTCTTCCACACCCTGCATAACGACACCGAGCCAGAGAGGCTTGTTGCCCTTTCYTGACCGTCTTCATTCATGGCTGTCATTCTTGTAACACGAAGTRTCCCCAGTTTGCCTCCAAATCAGGTTTTGTGAGGGTTCTGTCTGGACAATCTTGAAAACCAGTCAGTGCACCCAGACAATTACTGACCAATGTTGCGTAACCCCACAYAAACAGGGTGCAACTTGTAAGCTTACTCAATGGGTTTAAAGGGGAGAGTAGTAGGGATTTGTTCCATGTTCTCAGTTTTTGTAAGCGGTAAACCCAATAACCCAGGGAAAAAAAGCCCCAGTGGTGCTGTTTAACATTGTTAAAAAAACACAAATGGGTGATTTAGCTAAGTGAATTTGAGTTCTAAATTAAATGTAAGTTAATCAGAGCTCAAAGGGATTTGGATGGCTTTGAAAAAGAACGCTTAAATCGAGAAAGTTATGCAAAGAGYGATGAGCTTAATGTCTGAAGGAGAGTGTCCAATATAAACAGTCTCTTTATACAACAGAAGAATAAAAGGTGGGTTGGGGGAGGGGCATCTGCTAAGGCCTGAATGATTTTTTGTTACAGTGTGTTCCACGGAGAGTTTTTAATTTTCCCCACCATCTGTTGTCCTGGTTTTCTTTCAGTATCACTAATAATTTTTCCCTGCTGTGTGRCTGGATCAGATCTGGTGTTCTCTCACTGACAATGCGAAGGAGTCTCACTGTCCAGCAGAGGTAGCTTGAAGGAAGACAGCGATGAAGGATAGTGTAAAATGTAAAGTTTTACACAGATGTGGAAGCGACGGGGAAAATAACAGGCAGGGATGTGATGAGACTAGAGAAGTGGGAGTTGGAGTCACACGAAAGGACAGGAAGTGTGGGGTTGGGAAAGCTTTAAGGTTTCCCTGAGGAAAACTACTCCACATCTCTTTTGTTTAAGCTTATGAGTTTTCTCTCTGAGCTGCGCTGCAGTTTACCAGGCTGCACTGGAAATTTTTAGATGAAGGGGTTTAATGGGCAGCGAGCAAGAAGTTAACAAACCAAAATGATGATGCAATTGTTATTTTGCAAATTGTCTCAATAGGTTTCAGCATTCTTCATTACACTTGCATCGTCTGGATTAGGTATAGGCAGTGTTTCTTCAAAAAGTCACTGAAGTTTAAAGGTTTAAGAGTTATTTTGATAACTTGCTGTCTCTCTTTCCCCGCTGGCACCTGATAACATGGCCCTGTGCTTTCAGCAATGCAGAAAATATGGATTGAATCATGGAACTGGATGAAATTAAAATTGCTATAAAACATGGAACGTCGCCTCAGCAGCCTTCTCTGTGTTACACTGTGACTTAAGGTTGAGGTTACAAGGTGCAACATTAAACATGAAGTAAGACATTTACAGCAATATTAGCCTGGCCCTTGCCTTCCTACGCAGTTCAGCTCATTTCTAGTTTCCCTTCATTGCTCCGTCTGGAATTTCTCCCATAGACAAGGATTTCTTCAGGAGAATTTTTGTCCGGGCCAATCAGAGAACAGAACGACAACGCTGATTTTCTGTGCAGTGTCTGCTTGTAGTTTATTTTACTTGAACCAATCAGCAAACAGAAGGCGGAGTTTTGAACGACATCAATTTTCTGCGCAGTGTCTGCTTGTGAATTTAGCACAATGGCAGTGGAGGAAGTGAATGAAGCCAGTCCGTGTTGATAGGGCTTCCAAATTAAATTAAATTTGTCTGACAAAGCAGCAGCTCTCATTTACAGTCGTCTCGTTCGGCTCGGTATATTTCTCCTCTCAGTAGGGTTGTTTACAGCACACGCGATTTCCAGTTAGCTTCTTAGCTTAGCCTCCTTCACAGTGGAGCTGGCACACACATACGTTGCGGCCAACCAATCCAATCGTTTTAAACTTCAACAGAGGACACGCCTCCATCAAGAATCACTTCTCTATAGCTGAGAGTCCAGACCCTTGTATGAAGCAAAGCGAAGGACACTGACCATTTCGGTCAGTGTATCTTTTGGTCATTGGATTTTCATTTTAGAAACGGATATTAAAAAACAAGAAACAAGTGGATATTTGATTTTTGTTTTAAAATATTGAAATTAAAATTAAAATACAAAGCGTTTCTCATTCTTTGTGTCAAAAAGGGATGAACGAAATTTTAAAAATGATTTGAGTTTTATTTTCTGTTTCTGATAGCATAAAAGAAAATTACTTTCAAGACAAAAATAAATTAAAAAAAGGCTTGTTTGTTCATAATCCATGACAGGTCGTGCCAACTTACTGTCTCCCTACAATATTGTGTTTCACCACCAAAAGGGGTGTCTGCAAATCAAAGTTATTCAATGAACATCCCATTACAAGTAAAAAACATTGATGTTGACTTTAGTAGTAAATATATTTGCCAAGTATTTATTTGGTATCAGATCAATATCAAAGTCGTAGTACCGCCCATCCTTCGCTGAAAGGAAAAATCTAAGGACACAAACTGACAGAAAAAAAAAAACAAGCACAGATTTTGTCAAAACTCAGGAGGGAAAAAAAACTTTTTTGCCACTTCAGTAGAAAGCAGAACTGAGTATCAGTTTCTTAACTTCTTCATCATCAGTGACATTTTTTTCCTTTTTTCCTCTTAAAAAAAGGGAAAAAAAAACCTTTGTGCTCACAGAACAACAATCGTCCAACACACTAATAGAATGAAATTTATCTTAATTTTGCTTTTTATTGAGAAAAATGGAGATGAAACATGGAGGCAGTAGCTGACATGTATTCAGTAAAAGAGACTTATTTGGCCAAAGGCCACATGAATTACCTCTGCAAAG